ACGCTTAGTACAGTACATGTACTGACAATACTGAAAGAACAACTACTCCGTACAAGCGTTGATTTGATTGCATGATAAGCATAAACATAAACATAAACATATTGCACCCCCATCCCCTCGATGCTCCGTCGCCCCCTCCCTCTCCGTTCTTACCAATCACCACTAAACTAAAACTAAAACTAAAACTAAAACTATTTAGTATACCGACAACGCCGTAGAGCACCTTCGATCCGCCCAGTCGATTGAGAAATCAAGAAACACATAAAAAAAAAACAGTCAGAGCAGACAATAGTAGGAAGAAGACTACCCATCATCGCCCACGCCAATGTCATCCTCGGAGGGAGGCGTGGTGTTCGAGAGCGGTTTGAGCCCGGCACGACGACNGCGGCCGAACCACCGCTCGCGTCACTCATGCTCAGCTGCCACTATCTCCCCTGCGGGCCACTACCTCAGTACCCCAGTATCTGAGTACGCGAGCGCGCGAGTATCGGAGCCTGGAGCCCACCACCACTCTGTGCGGCGAGACTGTCTACTTTCTGCTGAATAGTGACATCACCAACACACCCTTTGGTAGAAGGTTGTACGTACTCTGACGTTGAGTAGTACGTACTCTGAGTTGAGTATGGCGGGCTGTACTATGGCCTGAGTAGAGTATGGGAAGCCATACTAAACGCAACAGTATGTTTAGTAGAGTATGAGAAGCTATAATAAAGTGATAGTATAGTACAGTATAGGAAGCCATACTAAACTCAAAGAGCATGTTTAATAGAGTATGAAAAGCCGTACTAAACCGCAAGAGCACGTTGAGTAGAGTATGAAGAGCCGTACTATAAAGTGAGTATGAGTAGAGTATGAATAGCCATACTATACTCAAAAAGATGTTTAGTAGAGTATTGAAGAGCCGTACTTACAAAAGTTCTAGTAGAGTATGAATAGCTGTACTAAACCGCCACAGAATGCTTAGTAGAGTATGAAAAGCTGTACCAAAATGTGAGTATTACTCTACTGGGGGAAAAGGGCCAGATACTTACTCAATACTCGGGTCAGTACTAATAGTAGATACTTTACTAAACCTACCCGTGGAAATAAGCGCGCGCGGCGCAAAATCTGAAGTGAGCAACACAAACAGTAACTAAAGTGTTGATGGAGGTGTGCTTCGCGCTCCCCTCAGAGCCCAAGACGACCGTGACAACCAGCTAAGTGTTCACAACCCACGTTGACTAGCTTTGCCGACAATGTCAGGCACCCCCCCCCGGTGTTCGCCATCGGGGTTGGGTTTTCGTCGTTTGGCAATGACGTTGTAAAACAAGCCCCCGGCAATCGGGATTGGGTTATTGTCGCTTGGCAACGACGTTGTACAACAAGCCAATTCACTTCGTGAACTCGGCAACCAGGTTACCGGTTTTTTTTACCTCAAGTTCTTTTTTTTTGGCGGAAACCATAATGAATGGTGGTCGAGTAGATCATGTTGTGCGGGGTGGAGAACCCTCACTCCGCGCAAGGGGGATGATCGCACCACGTTGTGTTAAAATGGTCAAGCACCCTCGAGGCAGTTACACAGTGCTTACAACTGTCTCAGGAAGTGAAAGCACCAGAAAATATAAAAAAAATAAATTAAGTCATACGCAGCTGTCATCCGTACGCAATGAAGTAAGCACAAGATGCCGAACACCCTTAGCAGGATGCAGCGCACCCTTCATGCGA